TAGACCAAAAAATGAGCGCCGAAATTTCGTTGTAGTATCCCTTTAAGGCCCTGTCACACTGCGGAAACAGTCGGAGAACTTTGTCCTTCAACACGAGGAAAACATGTTTTCGGGGACCCTGTCACATTGCGGAAACAGCAACAGTCCGGAAACATGTTGCTGTCGTCCGAAAACCATGTTTCCCAACTTGTTCTCCGACACTCGGGGAACATCCTGTCACACCGAGAAAGCGTGTTGGAAGAACACAAATTGCCTCCTCTCCTGCGCGCTGCATCCCTCTCTCTCTCGCCCTCGTCTGCCCGGCCGGCTCGGCTAAGCTACAAGCGCGAGCTCCGGGCTTTCAGCATCCCTGCCAAGCACGCACGCCCGTGCAGTGCAAGCACTGTTCTGGGCCAGATGCTCGCGCTTGTAGCATCGGCTGCGTCTGGACCGAAGCTGAAACGAAGTATAGGCGGCTAGGCTCAGATCCGCTGGCTCCGCTCGCCCCTTGAATCTTTGCCATTTTGGATCGCCGTCTCATCGACGTCGCTCTACTGTAGTCGGTTCATCAGCCGCGCGAACCATCTCGTGTTCTCTGGATTTGGCGGTTGCGTTCTGCTACAGGGCTAGACCCTTGCACGATGGCATACGCGCCGGCCACAGCAGCAGCTTCTGCTTTGAGGCCCTTTCATATTGAGGAAACACGGCGGAAACATGAACAAAACATGGTTCTCAACAGTCGGGGAACATGTCGGCTGTCGGCTCTGTTGCCCGACAACCCTGTCACATTGAGGAAACAGCAACACAACATGGACGACAGCGACAATGTTGTCTCGGTGTGACAGCTTTTGGCAACGGAATCCTCGACAACTTGTGTCGGACGACACGTGTTGCCCATTTCGGTGGCTGAGCGAATTTTTTTCCAGCAACACGGCAACATCTATATTTTTCTGTATAGATAGTAGCACGAGAATACTTCAATAATTGACGTCAAGCGTGAAGGGCCATTTTGAACGCGGCTTCTTGCGCGGCGGCAGCTGATCGTCAGAATCATCTGAATCGATGGCACAAAGAAGCACCAAAGCAGAAGCTGCTGCTGTGGCCGGCGCGTATGCCATCCTGCAAGGGTCTAGCCCTGTAGCAGAACGCAACCGCCAAATCCAGAGAACACGAGATGGTTCGCGCGGCTGATGAATCGACTACGGTAGAGCGACGGCGATGAGACGGCGATCCAAAATGGCAACGATTCAAGGGGCGAGCGGAGCCAGCGGATCTGAGCCTGGCCGCCTATACTTCGTTTCAGCTTCGGTCCAGACGCAGCCGCGCGAGCATCTGGCCCAGAACAGTGCTTGCACTGCACGAGCGCGCGTGCTTGGCAGGGATGCCGAAAGCCCGGAGCTCGCGCTTGTAGCTTAGCCGAGCCGGCCGGGCAGACGAGGGCGAGAGAGAGAGGGAGGCAGCGCGCAGGAGAGGAGGCAATTTGTGTTCTTCCAACACGCTTTCTCGGTGTGACAGGATGTTCCCCGAGTGACGGAGAACAAGTTGGGAAACATGGTTTTCGGACTACAGCAACATGTTTCCGGACTGTTGCTGTTTCCGCAATGTGACAGGGTCCCCCGAAAACATGTTTTCCTCGTGTTGAAGGACAAAGTTCTCCGACTGTTTCCGCAGTGTGACAGGGTGCTTCTTTGTGCCATCGATTCAGATGATTTTGACGATCAGCTGCCGCCGCGCAAGAAGCCGCGTTCGAAATCGCCCTTCACGCTTGACGTTATTATTGAAGTATTCTCGTGCGACTATCTGTACAGTAAAATATAGATGTTGCCGTGTTGCTGGAAAAAAAATTCGCTCAGCCACCGAAATGGGCAACATGTGTCGTCCGACACAAGTTGTCGAGGTTTCCGTTGCCAAAAGCTGTCACACCGAGACAACATTGTCGCTGTCGTCCATGTTGTGTTGCTGTTTCCTCAATGTGACAGGGTTGTCGGGCAACAGAGCCGACAGCCGACATGTTTCCCGACTGTTGAGAAACATGTTTTGTTCATGTTTCCGCCGTGTTTCCTCAATGTGACAGGGCCTTTAGTGCGCGAGAGCTTGTGCCGCCGAGACGTACTTATAGAGCAAGGAGCTCGCGCTTGTAGCCTTCCCTGCGGTACATCATAAGGGATTTAGTGCTAGCCAAAAGGAGCAGTTTCGTACCTATAAAACTGACTGTCACAGCAACAATAGGGAATCTGGCAGTGACTGCTGGATTCAGTCTATTTCAACAAGGGCGACCGCTTTCCTTCTAGCGAAATGCGGGGCAGGCGGGGCACAGGTGGGGGGGGGGGGGGGGGGGGGGGAGGCTCTGTTAACGTATTTAATATCCTGTGCTGTTTATACACCTGCAAATAATATTGCAGAAATTTAGCTCAAATAATTTTCACTCCCAGCGATATCTTTTTTTTTTTTTTTTATGCCAAGTATATGTTATGAAATGTATCGAAGTTGAAAACACGGAAATCGACTGCAGCAGAGCCAAGGAGGATAGAAGGGTAGGAGATGGCATGACGTCAGCCGCGTAGCTTCCACAAACCATGCTCCCTTGACGCCTCGCCTCTTTCTCATTTTCCCCCTTAAACACTCTTGCGACCGAGAAAGACCGAGAGAGACCAGACCTGTTTTTAAGCCTTTTGCGACTTCTTAGGACCGGATGCGCTGCAGCGGAGCTGGTCCTAAGAGATCGCAAGAGGCTCGGTTGCAAGAGTGTTGAACCGGCCTTTACTCTGCCCACTTATCAGCCCAACATGACCACATCACGTGGCCGTAGCTAGCCTTCGTCTAGGCTTCGATCTGATAAAACCTACCGGACGGAGCGCGCGTAAGCCTGCAAGGAATCCTTCTACAATCAACCATCCATCTCACACGTGACATGTCACGCGCACCAATCGCCAGAGAGTTATGCGGTCACGTTAGGCACAAAATCGTTTAAACTTTTTATGACTAGGCTTCACCAATATTGCAACGTGCCCCCTCCTAGTACAATGCATCAAATGGAAATAAGAAGCAGTAAATCTTTTTCCGTTGATTGTTTCCAGTCAACGCTTACTTTTATCAACAAGGTCCGACACAAATTTTTAACACTGTGTTATTTTTCGACCGATATGAGTTCAAGCTTTTTGCATCGTGCCACTAAAATAAATTTCCGCAGCAATTGCCGTTTCGCATTAACACAGCAATACGAAAATAACTACAATAATTTATATTTCAACTTTTGGCGAGCAATTTCCTCTTACAATATTTTGCTACCAAGGGGAGATGCACAATGGCGCATGCGCGTCCATTCTCCTGCGAGAACGACGGTCGCTTTCCGCAATGCTTGGATAGAAAATGGCGTCCCGTTGCGATTCACACGTTCACCAGCAACCTCCACGCTTCCCCGGGCCTCGTTTTTCGGCAACACCATGAGTTGCGGAGTGAACTTTACGACAGTGTGAACTGCGGGACATTTTAAAGTTTCGAAAATTTCTCGCGGGATACGAGCCCTCAATGCGGGGCAGTCGATCCCTCGAGTCGCGGGACGGGTGGTCACCCCAACTGCAACCTTTTTTTTTCAGAGCACAGCTCTTAGGCGCCCGTTTCCGGGTTGAGCGGCGTCGACGTCTGTGTAACCGCGCGCGTTGCATTATGTGATGTTTCCCCGCTAAATTTAGCGGGGAAATTGACGTCACGTGAACTCAACACCAATTCAGTTTTCCCGCTAAATTTATCAGGGAATATTACGTCACGACCTCGTGTCACGTCACCCGTGAACAGATTCAGCGGCAGGAGGAGAGGAGGAGGAGGGGAGGTGGAGGAGGAGGAGGGGCGTGCCCTCCCCTCCGTACCTTCCCCTGCTCCTCCTCCTCGAGAGCTGCGCTCTTTTCGTGTAACAGAGATTTGTAAACGTCTTCAATTGTTTAAACCATTACCAGGGACTCGTCGGTTGGCTTTCGTGACGCCCTGGCCCGGCTCATAATGTCGCAATATGTAGCAACATAAAAAAAAAAAATGTGTGTGTGTGTGTGTGGGGGGGGGGGGGGGGGGTGTATCTAAGCAGCTTTGAGCGTGCAGCCAATGTTGCACATTCTTTTGTTTCTGATCTGGGAACAGGTCTGGGAGCATTTTCTGCTCTTTGATCGCCACTACTGCGGGGGCTGCAACGAGTGTCCGACTGGTGTGTTAGCTTCTATTCCACCCATGCATCCAAAGTGGTTTAGAAATCGCCACTATAATGATGTCACAAAAACCGGAGTCGCGCTGTCGGACGTCGCGAATCTGGCGGTTGGGCGTGGAAGTTCTGGAAAAAAGCACAAGAAAACGTGAGAGTCGCTGTCGTCGCGGCACCCACAAAGCCCCTGATGTGTTTGCGTTTGTCTTGTTAATAGAGTCAAATGTGCCAGTGCCCGAGGCCCGTGTCTCGAGTGGCCCTTGGAAGCAAATGGAGGCGCAGCACTGAAATGAGTTGGCCTTGGAAGCAAATGGCGTCGGTGCACCCGATCGTGGCACGCGCCTTGCGCGCTTCCACAACAGTAGTTGGCGGTAGGGTGCCTACATGAGCGCTTTGCTTAGGGTGGAGACATCTGACCGTTTTGTCCCACACTTTTATTTTCCTTTTTTGTTCAGAAGCGCGTGAAAGCGCGTGTCCCTGCATACGTTTGTGGCGACTGTGCTATGTCGTCATATTATTTTCGTCGATTTCTTTGTATTTTACCCGTGAGCGCCTGCTGTCGGCATCGGGTACTACAAAGGGTGGCATCACCCCAAACAGGACGACATTGAGGCACCCTAGTTGGCGGTACTTGTAAGCGTGATTTTTATTGAGGGACTTTATGCATTCCAACTCCTTGCTGCCGAAGCTGCCGCGGACTGTCAAGCTGATGAGCGACCTGCTCACCAGCTTGACAGGTCACGAGGTCACGAAGCGGAAATGGAGGGGTCACTTTCACGTTCCCATCACCTCGTTCTGAGTAACGGAACGAGTCTCTCGTCGGAAACGCGTCGAAAGGTTCGTCCTGGCGACTCGAAGGACCCCGTCGAAGGACCATTGTGGAAGGCAAGACGCGAATAATGCTCGGTGCAGAGCTAACTTTGGAGGGAGCCAAATTTAGTGTCTCCGCTCGCTCGGCATTCCCCCCACCCATCTGGCCAATGGCGTGCGGGCCACGTCATGGGGCTTGGCTCGCTACTTGAGCCCCGCGCGCTCGGCAACCCTGGGCCTCTACCGCTGCTTTCTGCTCTCGCGTTCGGGTCGCACAGCTTCGTCGCAGACATGGTGAGTAAGCGCCGGCATCCCGCGACCACGTACCTTTCGGATCGCCGTCTCTTTGTCCACTGTAATGTCTACAGATCGGACTCTTTCTTGTCGTCTGGGTTTTTTGTTTAAAAGATACATAAAATCGCGCGCCCGCGCGCGCCGAGAAGGCGAGTTGTGGTTCGGTCTCTTGCGATGCTCCCCGCTTCTGGGAAAAGAGCGCCTGCTCGAGGTCGGAAGTTTGGCTCCATGCTCGGCGTGGTGGCTAGGGAGTTGAAAAACCGAGCCGGTGACTCGGGCAACTCGATGGGATTCGGACGTTTTGGTGTAGGATTCTTCGGTAAGGACGTTTCGGTGTACGGATGGCCGTTTCAGTGCACGAGCATTTCGGTGTAAATATGATATGTATTTCAAAATGAATAGTTGAACCTCCGGCAGACATCGCACACCTTAGTAAACGTTAATAATTTGATGCCCGTAAGGTACAAGATGTAGTGAAAGGGGTGGAAGAGCTGTCTTAATTTATTTGTTTACTTTTGTTTACTATGAAAGATATAGGAGATAAAGACTTCAACCAATAGAATTCATTGCGTTTCTGATCCAACTATAATATATTGAGCCATTTTAATGCGCGTAAAGACACCTGAACACGGTTGTGAAGGCATTCACTATGAAGGGCTAAACAATAGCTACAATTTACCAAAAAAATATGCAACGTGTTTTTTCATCGACAGGCATTGATGCAATTTAAGGATATGATAAGATCCTCTCATACCTTTAGCTTTAAGTTAGATAAGTCAAAGCGATGGCATAAATAAGTCACCACCTATACTGTCAACAGAATGGCGAGCGGGGACAAGTAAGCCGAAGATAATCTCCTGGTCATTCGATTAATAAACATAGTAATGAATTGTTATTTGTAGCGGCAATCATGAAAGTCGTCCACACCGAGAGGCCACACAAATATTGCATAAAGATGTAAGTATGAACAGTACAAATGACAAAATATGCGACGTACGTTCAGAGACAATAGAACGTTAACCAGGATTTCAAAGGATATACAACGAGAAATTCGTACACCGAAATGTCATAGGCACGTCCTCAGCTATCCTGTTTTCTTTTTCCGCGCGCGCCCTGGCCGGGTGTAGTGTTGCGCAAACTGTTTGTATACGTGTTTCGGCACTTGTGAGCCTGTTCTAAAATTTTTAGCCTATTCAAATATTTTTTTTCTCAATTAAACCTTGGTTTGTTTTGAGAAGTCTGCATTGTGTCTCCCTCATTGACAAGAGAGCCTGGTCAGCCGTCCCTTTAGTAAAACACGAACTTGTGACACCTATGTTCAAGGTCACCTTGACATTGGTTTCCCGCAACCGGAGCGTGCGGGAGCTTTAATAGAAAGTTTTTTGTTAGTTTTAGAATTTTATAAGGCGGCGTAATATCGGGTATCGTTATCGGAGTCGTAAGGCCGAGCTTAATCTGAAAGATACTATTTCCTGAACTGAGTTCCATTGGAGTTCACCGGCGGCGGTTTTGAGGTCGTCGACGTTTGCTCATTCCACCCTGGCAGACCGCTTTGTTTGTTCCGAGTGTCAAAAACAGTTTTAGCTGAAGCGTTTTTTGTTTTTGGCTTTTTTGCACGGTTTTGGCATGGTCTCGGTTGACGACATATAACATTCAAAGGAATCCAGTTCCGCTGCTTGACGAGGCCACTTGGTTAGAGGCGTTGAGCGGAGCAGCTTCCAGCACTTTCCATTGCTTTCGCTATAGTGTTCAAAATTTTCCAGTTGCCTGTGATCGGGAATTGGCAGTATTTCAAATGCAAGTATTTGAAATACGCATTTAGAATACTTTGAGTACTGTGCCTTTTGTATTTAATTACATATTGGGGAATGTACTTGTAAACTGCATTTAAATACTTAAACTTCAGTATTTCAAGTAGTATATGCCCCAGGCACGTAGCCAGGATTTTTTTTCGGGGGGGGGGGGGGGGGGGGGGGTCGCTTATGACAAAATGCTGTATGAGGGGGAGGGGGGAGAGGGGGGGTCCCAGCAAAATGGCAGATTTGGGGGGGGGGGGGGGCGGGCCCCATGGGCCTCTCCCCTGGCTATGTGCCTGATATGCCCCCGTTTCAGTGCGGCACCAAACAGAATTTTGGGCACTGCTCTTTGCTATCAAATGTGATATTCTACTTGGTGCGCTTTGCGCAGAATAAACATTGAAGGAAAAAGGAAGAGTAGAACAAGGAATTAATGGGGTGAGTAGAGTTATATTGCCTTTTTCTTTCAATTTTTAATTTAATTTGATTTAATTTCTGAAACAGGTCGAATTATCCTGTTGTTTGAAAGGGCTTTGATACATGAAGTTATGACAAAATTTATCTTTAGAGCTGTAACATTCTTAGTATATACTATATAAACTCCACTATAGATATGGGCATGGTCTTTTTTTACCTGGGTTGAATTTAAGTCTAAGGCGTCAATCGATAACAAAATCTGTTTGAAAAAAAAAATATTTTAAGATGATCAGGTACTTCCGTTGTACTTGTATCTTATATTTAAATACCTTTCTTAAAAGTGTAATTGAATTTGTAATTAAAAACATTTTTGTCAAAGTGTTTTGTATTTGTATCTAAATACATTTTTTTTAAGTATTTTTGTATATCCCTGCCTGTGATAAAAAAACAGGAATAAAAGTACTCATCTTTTCTATCTTCGTCACGTACTGTTTCACGTGCAATTTGTTTTACATGACTTCCACACAGTCTTACTAACGATGGCTCGACGAGAGAGTGTGCTTAGTCACGTAAAAAAGTATAAAGGGCTTTCTTTTACTCTGGGGTATAAACCCCCAGAAAAGGGATCGGCGACGTGAGAACTAGCGCTAAAACAGATATCGATGCATGCCGAATTGCTGGCGATCCCATTGCAGTCGCCATTTGCAAGTGACGTCGCAGCTATCTCTGATATTTAAGGAACGAGGAATGGCACGCCTAGTTTGGCGTTCAGTGTTCTTCGTTGATTTTAATGCACGCCCTTTGGTGCGATACTTACCAAAGCATTGTTTACGAGCAAGAATACCACATTAATAGCCTTACATTGCCTCGTTAGTGGAATATGCGTTTAATGTCTAGAGAAGAGTTGGCTGTTGTTACTCCTTGAAGGTTATCATCCGAGTTGGATTGCGGCACTCACTGTGCTATTCAGTTCAGCATTCTTTTTTTCCCCCCTTTCTTTATCACTTTCTCTACGCGCTGTTTTATTGTTTTATGTGTGGAGTGCAATTGTTTCGAAGAGTTGCAAGAGTTGGCGGGGAATTGAAGCCAAATAATCGTTTAACAAGCATGCATTCATTAGTAACACCCTAGGAATATCTCGCTGTTGCAGCTGCAAGGGCTCGCCATATTTCTCTTCATGTTTTGAGTATAGTAGGCATTATTTGTTCACTTGGTGTTCTACAATTTTTACGAAAGTTTACAAAACCGAGATGGCGACGAGAGAAAAAAAAGGATACTAGCCGTGACGTCTCTTTTAACGGTTAAAAGTCACGAGGAAATTAACGATGCTACGGAAGCGACGATTCCCTCCCACGCCTAAATAATTGCATCTCTGCTGCTGAAAAAGTGATAGCTTTATGTAAGAGCATGGAGTCTTTTACATACTGACTAGCAAAAATTTGCTTATCCCGCGCTGATAAAAAAGAAAAAAAGTTCGGCTTCTCCACATATGCTTCCGAAATATAGCGCACATTTTTCTAAGCTTGACTGCTTGTGGTCTGCTTGCGCGAAAAGCCATCTAAAATGCCAAAACCTTTTCGACTGGCAAGCTCTGGCCCGCCTCGGAAATAGAGCTGTGCACAGAAACTTTACAGACTGGCATAACTGTGTTCCACTATGTGGCTGAAGCTTTACAGAGCTTCGTACCCCCATCATGCCATGCTAACAGTAAGAAGAATTGGTGTGTGTCTATGTTTATATGTTTATAGAGCCTAGAACTTAGTCTGCCTCAACCCCGGGGGGGGGGGGGGGGGGGGGGGGGGATCGGTGGCCGAGTGGGCTGGCGGCTAGCGCACACCAGCTCGGAGCACGTGGAGCGAAAGCTCGGGCTGCAGTACCCAGGATTCTGGGTTCAATCTCCACTCCTGCCTCTTTTCGATCTGGATGAGCATCGTGCCGTCGTACGATCGTGTATCACTACTGCGTGGTGCACGTTAAAGACTCCGGGCTAGCGGTTGTACTGCGCTGGCTAAATTGCACAACTACATCGAGTGACTCGTCGCAGCTTTGAAATGGCTGACCAACTACACGTTGTATGAATATCCACCAAACCCCAATTATTATTCTGCCTCAACGAGCAACTTCTCTCCCAGCTGTAGATGAGAAATTTGGCCATTGCAGTACAACCGCTAGCCTGGGTTCTTTAACGTGCACCACGCAGTAGTGATACACGACCGCATGCCGGTACGATGTTCATCCAGATCGAAACAATCAGGGGTGCTAATTCAACCCAGGATTTCTGGGTTCTGCTGCACGAGCTTTCGCTCCACGTGTTCCGAGCTGGTGTGCGCTAGCCCACTCGGCCATTAATCCCCCAATGCTAACAGTACGAACTGTGACTTCTGCTTCTTATATATATACAGTATATCTTTATTAACCATTCATACAATGATGGAGGCCGAGAAAAGAAAGCCGCCCTAGACGGCGTGACGAGCTCTTGGCCCCCATTTATGTTCTACAACAGTGACAGAAATTAGCAAAGATACAATATCCTGAAAAACCACATGGCATTGGGTTGTGAGGTTAAACAAAAAAATATTACGAAGGAAAAGTTCTAGACATCAACAGTACATGGGAAAACAATACATAAGCATTCGCAAGTTCTTCATTGTTATTTAATTCAAATGTATATTACAAAAAAAAAAGAAAAAAAAGAAGCGTTTTAGGAAGTCTGCAGGAAAACATATTCTTTCTAATATTTAATCGACACTTAGTTACATTTCAGCGCTTGGAGTTTGAAATAGATAGCAACAAATATGCTGGCTCAAACCTTCGTGTAAAGCGCCGTTCACACTCTTGCAACCGAGTACGACCGAGAGAGACCAGACCGGTTTTTAAGCCTCTTGCGACCTCTTAGGACAGGATGCGCTGCAGCGGAGCTGGTCCTAAGACGTCCAAGAAGCTTAAAAACCGGTCTGGTCTCTCTCGGTCGTACTCGGTCGCAACTCGCAAGAGTGTGAACGGGCCTTTAGGCTAGCGTCCCCGGGCGTCCTGTACCTCGGCGTACTTTCTCGATTCCGAAAGACTGACATGGCGACCGCGCGACTGCCAGGTCGCGAGGCGTGCAAGAATAGCTTGGAGGCGGAGGCGGTCTCACTTGGGACTGCGGGCAGGCAGGCCCGCTCTTGGTAGGACAGGAGCAGGCTTGTGCCCGTTACTCCAAAAAAGTAATTAATTACAATTACAATTCCTTGGCGCAAAAGTATTAGATCACCATTACACATTACTCACCTAAAAATGAATAAATGACTGATTTGTTACTTTACTTGATCACTTCCGTGTTATTCCAAAGAAACACGCAAAATACATGCAATGTATGCTGCGTGTATGAGGGGCGAATCGTATTGCCCCATTAAAAATAAAACGCATAGAAAATAGGCTCACTTCAATCTACCCTTTACTTTAGGGTAATAATTTTAGGAGGACAGATCCATTAAGTTATGAACTACTTAAACAGGTGTTCGAGATAAACGAGTCTTTCTCTGTCCAACCGGGAAAGAATTGGATCACATGAACATACGAAGAATGCACTTGAGCGGTGTAGGCGCGCAAACCATTCCGAATATTTCGCGTTCGCCATCGAAACTGGAAAGCACGACTTACCTGAAGATGTGGTTTTATGGTCGCTGTATTTTGACTAAATAATTAAGGGCTGCTCTACGCACTAAAACTGACTGGCTGTGAGACCTAACTGCGGTACTTGCGTTTGGGTACATTTCGAAGACTCTATCTTGATGGAAGTTGTTATCCGATCGAAGAACCCGCTTGATCCTCTTTCTCCAAACTCAACAGAACTAAAACGACACACGAAATATTAACGCACAAACTTTCAGCTGAACTGATATTGCCGTTTGTAAATTATGTATAAACAAAACACCATTGTCTGTGATGAGCAGGCTTCCATGTCCCTCACCGCGTTTACAGCCGCCTTAGACCCGTTTACACTCTTGCGACCGATTAAGACCGGGAGAGACCAGACCGGTTTTTAAGCCTTTTGCGACGTCTTAGGGCCGGATCCGCTGCAGCGGAGCTGGTCCTAAGACGTCGCAAGAGGCTTAAAAAGCGGTCTGGTCTCTCTCGGTCGTACTCGGTTGCATATGTGTGAACGGTGCTTTACCCTGTCTCAACATCAGTGTCCATGTAAGCCACTGCTTAATCTAAAAAAAAAACTTGGGGTCTTTTTCCTTTTCCTAGCGTTTTGGTCTAGTCCCTGCAGGCACAATCCGCTGACGAGGGCCCCAGCATTCTCGTTTCTAAATATACGGGTGCAGCTTTGAACTGCCACTGAACGCCTAGTTTGGTTATTTACAAACCTAGATAATAAAATAAAAAAGCTATATACGGGATTTTAGCTGCTCACAGAGGGGCCACAAAGCGTAGGTCTGTTCTAAGTAGGCCCAGAATTGCAAGCTATGAGCGAAATAAATTATATAGCCGTTTTTTAACCTTTGGGAATAGAAGTAGGGACATTTTCACTCCTGGTAGGGAGGAGTAGAAAACTTTTTGATGGGGTCGTGGGAAATTTTTGAGTCGGCGATCTAACAGCATTGCGAGGAAGTCTATGCCTCTTGCACGGCCCCTCGGGGGATCGAGCGGCCGTGTTTGTGTACTCTCGTTCCCAGCCACCTAATAGGCGTATCCGGTATGGGCGACGAAAAAATACTAAAACGTTTCAACCTGTAACTATAGTAAAAAAATAAGGGGGAGGCAAAACGATAATGTGTGACGGTTACGCTTATATCCTGAGTGTCTTCTACTGGCGTGGCGACGGCAAAACAATCTTTTCGCCCATACTGGAAGGGACGACAATTCAAGATGGCGGCACCCTTGAAGACCGTGCCAACGAGTCCAGAAATACGCTCCAGGCTATAGTGCTTTCTGTGAATTCATTTCCTCTCCCTCGGCAGCGCTCTCTTCGCTAGCAAGGTATTGTGTCGCCCTGCTAAAAGCGCGAAGGCGATTGATTACATCGCCATTCTTCCGCTTTATCTCCCCCTTTGACCAAACTGAAGAAATCAAACGAGTAATTTAAGTAATTAGTTACTGAAAAATTAATGGGATTACATTACGAATTACATTTCCCGGAAAAATAATGAATTAATTGCAATATATATATATTGTTTTGTTTTTAAAGTAGCGAAATACACAAAATTCCGTTTCTTGCAACGGATTACTTCCGCATCTGGAGGAGAGTGCCGGGGGCGTGCTATTTTGAGGCCCCGATGGAGCCCTGGCCATGCGAGCGGGCCGCCATGTGGACGACCGGATGGGCAGCTGGCGACCGGAGTTCTCGGTTGATTTCGGTTGTCGCGACCAGGCAGCAGCCCTGCAATGAGACCGGGTGGGAGAGGGTGAACTCAGCAGTGTCCCTTCTCGGTGGGGCGTTTGAGATCGGATTACCTGACGAAAGCTGCCTGACGGACGCGTAGAAATAAAGCATCCATCGAAAATTCAGGAAACGTCAACTAAAAGTGTCGTTCGTTTCAAGCGAAACGCTCGCTCGGATGTCGCACGCTGGTTGAACTCCTTTCACTTAGTATAGCAGGGAACTGCAACAGGATAATCTCGGGAGCCCCGAATCGAAGCTGTCAATAAAGCTCAATTTGAACCTTATCGAATGACCCTCGCAAAAAGCACGGACAAGCCACTTTTCATGCTTGAGAAAATAGGTCTTCCTTCTGAATAGTTGGCTCACAAGCCGTGACTTGATACGAGTTCAATAACGTTGGCACTGCGCTGACTCTGTCGTTGGCTTGGTTCGCTTAAACCAAGAATTTAGGTCCATACATAACTCCTCGCGACAGGAGTTCAAAGGAGTGGATCTCGCCTGTCGCTTGCAAATAAGCTGCTTCTGAAATTTCCTGCATTTAACACTGCACGCGTTTCATTTTAGGACCTGGTTGATCACGGAGAGGAGTGGCATGGTTTCGGTTTCGATTGCCCCGTCGGACGAAGCAGTGCACCTTAGCACTGCATGAAAATAAAGTCGGCGCTCACTTGCATTGCACCCATTAATTTGCATGAGAGCCCCACCTCCAGCGAACGTAAAAGCTTGCCTAGGCTTAACGAGTATAAGAGTACGGCCTGCCGCGTCCCATACCTTTCTGGCGGCCTGGTACCACTAAAGAGTGCGGTATGACCCTCCCTGCTCACGGGTAATTTAAGATGCCTAGGACATTGAGGAGCCGATGGAAAAGGATGACCGGCCTAGTATACGTCTCCTTCCAGGTGCCGTCGTCGTCCTGTTTGAAAATGCAAGCACTGTACTTGGTCGTGACAGGTTGTTGGGAAGTTAGGTTGGCTAGTCGAAACCGAAACTTAAGCCAATGGTTTCCCAAGATGTTTTGTGCGGCATGAAGCCCCTAGGATCGCTTCTATTTTGGAAGAGATGTATGGTGATGAGGCGGATTAATGAGGGTGGTTTTCTTCCCGCAGGGTGACTCGGTGAAGGAAAAGAAGAAGAAGAGCAAGAAGGCGGCTGAGGCCGATGAAGCAGCTCCCGCGGCAGCTCCCGCGGAAGCCCCCGCTGCGGCTCCGGCCGCCGCCCCTGCGGCGGCACCGGCGGCCAAGAGCTCGACCAAGAAGCGAGCGCAGCGTAGTAGCTCCAACGTGTTCGCCATGTTCACGCAGCACCAGGTTCAGGAGTTCAAGGAAGCCTTCCAGATGATCGACCAGGACAAGGACGGCTTTATCAGCAAAGCCGACATCCGCGCCACCTTTGACTCCCTGGGCAGGCTCACCAACGACAGCGAGCTCGAGTCGATGATCTCCGAGGCTCCAGGCCCCATCAACTTCACCATGTTCCTCACCATCTTCGGTGACCGCATCACGGGCGTCGACGACGAGGAGGTCATCGTAAATGCCTTCAGCATGTTCGATCAGGGCAACGGCTTCTGCACCGAGGAGAGGTGAGGCTAGCCGGGGCAACACCACCGAGATAGAAAGCCGCGGCGCTTCATTTTATACGTCACCCACCGGGGGCTAGTGAGCAGGGGGGCTATGTTGCACGTTTTGGACTCCCAGGAGGCCAGGGAGAAGGAAGTGATGTCAACAACGCTCTTTGGATGTTGATTGGTGGAATCGCTGATGACGCGTTGCGTGGTGCTGCTAAGATACGTTCATTCACACCTACGTCACTTCCTTCTCCCAAGTCTCCTGGGACTCCAAAACGTGCAACATAGCCCCCAAGTACACATACAACACGAGTGCTCTGTCAGCGTTCGGTTGGAATTCAGGTTAGACCAATCAGAACACGAGTCCTGCCGAAAGCTGACAGAGCACTCTTGTCCAATCTGTGAGCAATCTAGCCCTTAGGAAGAACGTAGAAACTTGAGCACTGCGGCTTTGTGTCTAGGTGATGCCGACCTGCGTCGCTACATTAGCGCTCTCAAAACGGCGGGGTTTTGAAACGTAGAACTCAAAGACAGGAAGATGGTTCGATAAACAGGACAGAACCCGGTGACGGCACGAACATGCTAATATCGACAGTCACGGTCATTGCCTTGCAGGCTCCGGCAGATGCTGTGTACTTTTGGCGAGAAGCTGACCGACCAGGAGGTGAGTGGCAACGGCTGTTTTTACACTCCAAACTTTCTGGCATCCCTCATGGGTTTCAGTGAGCTAAACTTCAACGGATACCCTGTTGGACGTTGACTTACGCCCAGAAGGCTATTAGCTGCCACGCAACTGTCTTTAGTATATGGTCCATTCGCAGATGTGTACGAGGGACAACCGCTTGACTAGTCCCGTTGCTCGCAGGCCAACGACGCGTTCGCCGAGGCGCCTATAAACTCCGAGGGCAAGGTGGACCTCAAGAAGTTTGCCTCGATCTTAACCAAGGGCGTGGAGGAGGAACAGGGAGCGTGAGGTGGAATGGCGTCATCGGACCCTGAACTCCACTCCAGGGCTGCAGCCGTACACATCGTCCAGCTGGAACAATAAAAGAGAGACTTTTGGAGACGAACTTGCGCGCATTGAGCAATGCTTTGCCCATCCTTCGTGTGGGCGGTGGCTGCTGGATGCTGGAGGGCGCCCTCATCTGCGACGCTCGATGTGCTGAATGCCATGCAGACAATGCATCCTGTAGTAGGTCAACCAGCCTAGGAAAGCGTCCCGTATATTCCTTTTCCTGAGGCTTAGAATAAAGAAACTGCATTTTGAAGCGAGTGGCTAACTTTTGCTGCGTTCGTGTGCATCACTAACTAAAAAAGGTAAATAATTCGTTGTGTTTCCTTTATTGATGGCATTACAAGGGCGAGAGATAGAGGGGATCCAAGTGTCATATAGAAATACGTTAATACAATCAATTAACGGCACCAAGAGAATGTAGCATATACTGTATAATCAGGCATCGCCAAAACATTTAAAGCCAAATATGCCGTCATGCAACACGGCCAGGAAAAGGTAGGATTACAGTCGTCAGGTGTATACAGTTTATTTTCACTGCAGCCGTATTCAAAACGCTAATAGCAACTTTGTTGTTGCCAGTGGCACCGGTCGCATGCACTACAAATGCTTGGTATTAAATGAAAATTTCTACATTGAGTATAAAAAGTGCCTGCATCTAGCTGTACGTGTTATTGCATGAGGGGGTCCCTTTAATGGAAAGCGAAAGATCTGAGAGAATGGGGTTGGGGACCTTTACATATATTTACTTTTCCGTTTACCGATGAATAGCATGTAAAATCACTGGTGCAATGTCGGTAAACAATGCTCCTCTATGACATTTATATAGTGGGTGATAGGTTAACAGCAAAGTGGAAGCTCTTACACACACACGTACAATTTGCTTTACCTGTGGTTTATGCTTTATGGATGCCATGATCATTACATAAAACAATAGGGAATCTCAGGACCGAGAACTGACACTTTTTTTTTTTTATTTTTCAATTACGTTGAAAATTGCAGACAGAAGAGTTAAAGCCGTAAGTTTATCCTTCGTGTCCAAAAATAAAATAAAATAAAACAGGACACATCTTTTTAAAACGAAAGAAGTAAAGAGGTGCAGAAAGCAGAAATTTGGGCCGTTTCCCAAGTGCTACCAACCATTCGTCTTGGTTGCCCTTCGCCGGGAACAAATTCCGCGACTGTCACCGGGTGACAGAGATAAGGCCCAGCGGGCCAGATAGCTGCGCACCGCAAAGCATTCCAAGCGAACACATTGTACTCCATGCAACAGCCCTCGCAACGCACTAGACTGAAGAGCCACTAACGGCTGCAATCCCGTAAACAAAAAAAAAAAAAAAAAAAAAAAACAACAACAACTAAGATTTGCATTTTAGGCTGCCACGGCACTTAGCTATACTACGCTGCCGCTACCTTATTACATTTGCGTGGGAATACAGACACGTGCAAGCACGTGCAGCATGCGCGTGCACTTCGACAGGCGTGCCTTTGCACGCGCTTACCTCGCACGAACAGAGCCATGACGGCGGCCGCCGAATGCCTTACGCGTATACAGCAATAAAAAAAAAGGGAGAAATTAGGTGCGTAGCTGCGCCCTTCCGAGAAAATTGTCCCCGGCGGCGGACTAGCTGAAGCTCTGGAATGAAGCCTGGTTCAGACAGTCGCTTTTGACTGCGTTTGACTGCGTTGCGGCAGCGAACAACCAGGACATTCCTGCTGCTTATATCGCGTTCCAAGATGATTCTTTGAATTGGATTCCACGCTTCATACAAAGCACAGATGTGCCGGTGACTCGCTTTCGGTTCTCGACGCAACGCAGTCAAACACACTCAAACGCAAGTGTCTGAACCGGCCTCAAGCTTGTCCCAGCTAAGGATCGTGCGAGCTCCCTACAACGCTGCCTCCCGACACACACAACCTAAGTAGCTTCCGTCAGCTCATCAATCGACCAGCCAACTCGATGGATCTATCGACAGCTCACCCTTGACCTGGAGCCCCAGCGCCGGTCAACCAGGCCGCTTGCTTGCCGGCCCTTGGGCAGGACCTGGTTCAGAGTTTCGGTTCCACGTGTCGGCTCTGCGGCGCAGCGACGCGACCCATTCCGATGCGGCGAGTGCTTTTTTAAGGAGCCCACGACCCGAGCCGTCGAGAAACCGTATAGTTGAGGTCTTGCGTATGTCGAGGCCCCGCGAACGTCCGCGAGCTTCGAGGGTGGAGTTTGGGCTCCTCGGCCGGAAGCCGGCTGCGTGGGTGGGGAGTGTCGGCTGGCTTCGGGAGAGGGCCGCTTGTCCATACAAGGAGCGCCACGCGGGGGCGGAGGGGCAAACCCGGGCCCGGACCCCTCAGTCCTTCTCGCCGAGCCGTCCGCCGCAGCCGTCGTCGCGTTTCTCCGGTCCGCAGCCGCCGTTAAGATGGTGAGTGGACCGGGACCCCCCACTGGTGTTCCGCCGCGCGGTTTCTACCTGGGCTCTTCTTAAATGCGATCGCTGAGAATCTTGGGCCATTTAGCACAGCTAAGCACATGTTTTGACTTCGAAAAATTTGATGGAAGACGGAGCTTTATTAAAGAAAAAGGAAAAACATAAGAGATAGACAAACTCCCAAGGTCGCTCTGTAAGCTACTATCGCCTGTCTACTGGTCCTTCTAGTTTCCATGCCGTTTGTCGCGTACAAAAGATCAGGTACCGGACATTTTATCGAACGCCGTCTTATCAATTAAGTGGACGTTTGGTCGAACACCGTTTCATCGAACGTCACTTTATCGAATCGCTTGACTCCGTTTCATCGGAATTTCCCTTTACCGAATTTTGGAGTATTGCACTGCTTTTTAGATGTTTTACTTTCGCTTTTGAAATTGTTTTTACTTTCGAGTGCAGAATCACCAGAGTAATTTAAAAAAAAAATGTTGATTACTGAATTATTAATTAACTACATAAAAAAAAAAAAAAACTTAAGCGGGTATGCGACTTGCTGTTTTCTGGTAAATTATTCACTGTTCTACATCACACACTGATCTCTCCTTCGTCCCCCTATTCGTTCACGCATGAAAGGTACTTCCTGAAAAAAGAAAATACAACTATTCTCCGCTGCGTTTTTTTTTTTATTTTTGTATTTGTCTGTTTACTTGTGTTCATTTTATTATAGGAGAAAAGATTCCTTTTTAAAATCATAGCTTGAAAAACCGGGTCTACGGAAAAGAAACAAAGAGGGAAGGCCTTTTCGTGTTTTATGGGACTTGGAGACGGGTCAATTCTTCAGGGGCGGCTTAATTCTTGTAGCAAAATATGTCTCTTCAAGGACGAGGATACGTCTTCGAAGGGACACATACCTTCGTCACTGCACCCGACGATCACAGGTTTAAAATAATCTCAAGTCATAAGTCCCGCTTTTTATTGGCCGCATTAATATATAATAACAACGTTGTGTGTACGTTCAAACAGACTGAACTTAGTCTGCCGCGATGGGCGAATTATCTCTCAGCAGTAGACGAGCAATCTAGCCAGTGCAGTAAAACAGCTAGCCTGGGGTCTCTAACGTCCATCACGCAGGAGTGATACACGACCGTACGCCGGTACGATGCTCATTCAGATCGAAACGGGCAGGGGTGGGGACTGAACCCAGGATTTTATTTATTTATTTATTTCAAAATACTGCCAATCCCATTGGGATTTTCGCAGGTTTTGGGGAAAAATAAATATAGATCAAGAGGCAAATATCAATAAAAACAAAACAGCAAAATATCGAATCGTTCTTGTAACAGAAAAAACATCAATTCATAAACTGACAAAGTAGTTGTTTTTCAACTGCATCACTAAATAAATTCAACACTTGTACAACTAAAAAAGTGCCTATCTAAACTATTCCAGTCTCTTATGGCTGAAGGAAAAAATGAATGTTTAAAACTGTTATTATTGAAGGAATACTCAACGAGTGTGTCGCTATGTTTATGTCTAGTGGCTCTCGCTTCCGATCGCTTAACGTACTTTCGCTCCACGTGCCCGGAGGTAATGTGTGCTATAAAAAAAAAAAAAGAGAAAGAAACTATTCGGTTATCAATCCCCCATTCATATTAACAGCAGAAGTCATCATCTGCTATAATAAATATATATATATATATATATATATTTCTTTTTTTTACATAGGAGGTTATAACTTTTTTTTTTTTTTTTTTTTTTTTTTACTAGCTGCCTACTCCGCTGGAAAATAAAGTTAGTAAATTATAAGGATTTCAAACGCTAATATCCTCCCGCTATTAGATGAAAACTATTTGCATTTCATCAGTTGTGTGCAGCAGAGGCAAAAGCGAGGCGCGAGGGTGTGGCTTTCAGATTTGCCTTCATTTCAAAGCACTCGCAAAAAGGAAAGCAAATCTGAAAGTCCTGAGGCCGCGCCTATGCCTTTGCCTTTGCTGCACACAGCTCCCGAGATAGAGTATAGGGGATGCTCGATGAAATGGCGTTCGATGAAACGGTGTTCGATAAAACGGCGATCGATAAAATGTCCGGACCCACAAAAAAAAAAAAAAGCCGTTACAGTTTTTATTAACGGGTATTTACTATCACTGACCCTCGTCGAACTCAACGAATGAGGATGTTCACGGCATTCTGACGGCGGGAAAAGTTCCGGTCTTTGCGGGTGGGACGCTCTTTGCGTCTTTTTGCCTCGGTTTTGTTTCCCCCTGCGTCAGGTGTGGAGAGGGGCCAGCTCGGAACGAAACGTGCTGTTCTGGCTTATGCTCCAATTACGGAGGCGCCTCTTGTCCATACGGGACTGCAAAATTGGGCAGCGAACTTTATCTTCCAAGTCCTGTAAAGCAAAATATCCAGTTGCGATCGTTTAAAACCGCGTGGAACAGATTAAACAGTCGTTTCATGGAGGAAAGAAGAACTTGTATTTTTTTTTTCAATTTCCCCGGTACTTTATGCGGAGAAACTGGGTGCATAGGACTCGTGGCATCAATTTTCGCGCTAAATTTAGCGGGGAAACAAAATTGGTGGATACGTCACTTGACATCAATTTTCCTTTTAGATTTAGCGGGGAAATTGTATTGATGTATGCGTGGCGTGTCGACAGGCCAAGTGCCGTATATTGCCCCGCCAAATTTAGCAGGGAAACTGAATTGGTCTACAGGTCAGGTGACATCAGGCCACGTGACGCCAGTTTTTCCGCGAAATTTAGCGGGAAAACTGAATGGGTTGCATAGATTACGTGTCGTCAGGTCACGTGGCACAAATAGACGTCACGTCATCTATACACCAATTCAGTTTCCCCACAAAGTTTAGCGGAAACTGCACGGACGGACGGACGCACGAGCGGTTGAAATTTTGCAATTGGGGACTTCGTTGTTAAAGAAGTATTTCTTGCTTTAAAATAAGCTGGTGTTGCCAGCGAGCTTGTGTCTCTCGGAGTCTTCGACTCGAGGCTCGATCCGACTCCGACTTGGAGCGCAGCCGAGGTGCGGACAGCTTGGAATTGGAACCGCCCCAGACGATTGTTCCTTTCTTTTTCTTTCTTTGCTTCTTGAGCAAGAGATTAGCTTACTGCTGCCAAAATCAACTTCTCGCGGCACTCTTTTGTCAAGGTGATAGGGAAGTTCTTTATGTCTTTTATATCACGTGTGCGGAGGAGCGGTTGGGGAATCGAGCATAGTATGCTGTTCTATGGAATGTGTGTGAGCCTTTTGTTTTTCTTTCGGGACACTGTACTTGGGTGCGTTGGCAAATTATTATAGGACACCGCACTAATGGTATCTTGTAAGATAAAAGAAGCTAAACTAATGTTAAACTAATGTCTAAAAAAAGAAGATGCCGTTGTCGTTAATCATATATTAGTTCTAGCATTGAAGGGGCCGGCGTCTCCCTAGTCAAGAAGGAGGTATATGACGTTTAAAGGGATGCAAAAGTTGGGCTGGTTGGTACGATTGCATAATGTAGAACAGCACGAAAAGAGAGCCAACGAAGAACAAGAACTGACAGGACGGAGCGCTGACTATCGAGTGAATATTTCTTATAAACATACAAAACACATCACTTCTCTTCTGAAAGACATTGGTTGTATACCCATAGTTTGTTATCCTCACACCGGCGAAACAAGAGCTCATTTTCTACTACACGCGGCGCCGGTGCTTGGCGGCACTGAAAACAAATTTCTCCGTCTTGAGATATTCAAGAAGAACGATGTCATAGTAAGGGATCTGTGAAGATGAGCGCGATTGATGACTAGATTGTACGAACACCCTTCCAAACACGGTTACATGGGCGAGAAACGCTTTCAGTGCGCTAACGCTCCATTGCCATTGAGGCGCGACTGGTTCAGAGCGACCCTTTCGAGGCTACGATGATTTGGAAAGGACCGAAATGGCGATTGTTACGGTAACAGAAACCGAACGGCCAATCGCCTTGCGAGGTTTTGGCCGTCTAGATGTTAGTATCTGTTTGTGTCTGGCTAGCACGCAGGGAAGACAACTGTCCCACTTTCCTTTGATCCGGTGAATCTACAACGTGTTCACTAACGCTTCGATCCTACTTTGGACGAACCGCAAAAAAATCGGTTGCTCGACATATCGCGCTGGGATTTACTACAGAGAAGCCCGAAGGTGGTGTATTAATTTATTGGGAGTATGAATACATGAAACCTCCGGAGTTCGAAGAAACGAAAAATGGTTTTATTTATAAAAAAAATTATCGCCAATTTTTTTTCCCTCAAAACCACAACAACAACAACAAAACTGTTCTGGGATATTCTGGCGTTTATTTTGACTGAAAAACAGGTGAAATGAAAAGAAGATATATTTTTCTTGCCTTTTCTTCACTTCATTCGGTCCAAATAAGCGCCACGGAGACAAACTATTCTTTAAGTGTACAGGCATAGTAAAGGAAAGTTTTTTTTTTTCCCGTGATTTACTCGGGTGAGCCAATCTTTCAACAATTTTAGTGAAAGCTTCCATTACCTTCGGGGACCTCTGTAGTGAATGCTAAGCGTGATAAGTTAAGAACCCTATTGATGCGGACCGTCCAAATTGCGATCGATGCGTTAGTGTATAACTTTAACTGGTACTGCCTCTACAAGAGCACAGAGCCGAGCGTTCAGACACGAAAAGTTGATACTGTCGCTCTGTTTGATCACTTGCTGGGCCGGTCAACGAAACGACCTATAGACCAACACGCTGTTGACAAACAACTCCGCGTAGTGTGGGCACTGCACGTGCGCAGAAACCAGATTCGCCTGAAGTGAGGCTTGTGCGCATGCGCCGGACCGACAGCAGCGCCGCCGCAGCAGTGTGATGTCAGAGCCGCACGTTGGTTTCTACAGACGGTCCCACTTTACACAACGATCGCATTGTATGTCCGCGAAGTGGCGGTTCGTTCAGTGTGCTCGCCACATTGGCCACCGGAGAAAAAAAGACACTGAAAAC